ATAAGCTCCTGCGTTCCTATTGGCCCCTCTAGTCTTGGCATTAGAGCCCAAGCTCTGTGAGAAAATTCTCACAGGCGTGAGATAACGAAGGAAGGCCTCCTTCTTCTCCCTACTGCGCGCTAGCGCCTTAGCTGCAGGTGTTGAAAGTGCTGTTAGTCGATTCCTCGTGGTCGGTTCTCCTAGATAGCGTGCTTTCCTAGCGGTTTCCAGAAAACTCGAAGTTGGTGATTGGTCGGTTCAAGATGTAAATCGAGCTCTAATTTGATTATATTTTGGTGCTTGCGCATCACGCTGTTGCTACACTAAGTAGTCTACATTAGCCGCCTACAACCACCGACGCTCGTTACCAGCACAGCGGCTGTCTATCACTACCACAGAGGTTACAATTCTTACGAGTAAAAAGAGAACCTAACCGGGTAACCTATAACCTATACTGCGTTTGCCGCTCTATTTTTACGTGGTACCAGTAAAACATGACTATTGCGCTTGGATGTGTTAGAGTCATCAAACGCTGCTTACTTTCGCTTAATTACCGCTGAAATTCCGTAAAACATCCGGGTCTACGCCGGAACTATAGTAATCTGGGGTAAGTTTTGTCCAGATTCGGTCCGCCTAAGCCGCCTGATCCTCTATATATACATATGCTCCTCTATGTAATTCCCTCCCGCTAACTGAATATCTTTTGAAAGAAAGATCTTAGTAGACTGACTATAACAGCATTAGAAGCGGTGTTGAAATGTATGTACTAATGCTTCACAAGCTTCGTATTACAGTAAGCATATTCGTCTCAACATGCACTAACGCTCAGAACCTAGTATTGAGTGATTTTGAAAGCTTACGCTGATCTGTAATATTAATACCTCAAGTAACACGTCAATTGCTAAGGCTATATCCAAGTCCAAGGCTGTTATGGTATATAGACATTAACAAATGCCCCTCTTTATATTACTTTTGCGTCAAACAGGAGCACCGCTTGAACCTATCTGTTACTACTGCTTTTATACAAGTACCCAACCCTATATTGAAGTCATCCTTCCTCACTAGTACCCTTATCTTCACTAGTAGCGCGCTTGTACAGTCCCCTTTACACGTCCTTTTTATTCATAAGCGCAACTGGAGCAGACTGAAAGATCTATACTAGGCACTCTCAGTTCGCTGTTCGTCAGAGCAGGCATCTCCAAGTTTTATGCAAAGATGCTGCGTTGAGGGAATCACGTATAAGGACAACAGCATACACAAGGGCACATGGATTTCAAGCGGGGATTCATGCTTAATCGAAAATGCGGATATTAGTAAGGCGATGGTCGGCTGGATTCTTTGTATTGACAAGGAAAATGTGAGTAATGGTGGTTGGTGTGGACCATCATGAAATCGATCTTGAAATCGATTCATGAAAACGCGTTCGACGGCGGGTGCTTCGTGACTAGACTTGAAAACAAGGAAATTGTTACAGCTCCACCTATAGAATGTGCCGGCGTAAGCCCTTCAGAATGATGTGATGTGAGCAGTGATGTAGATGAGGCGATGAATGTAGAAGATGCAATGATGGATATCAAGGCACACGTGTGGAACGCCTGCAAGTGGACGGGGATTGGTGCAAGGGTGTGGTGCCGACTTTGCTGCCAAGACTTGGAAGCGGTGACGACTGGCATAAATAATTCTAGGACTCGGCATACGCGAGCAGCCTCCCTCACCCACGAACAAGCCCTCGTGTATGCGCGCCTCCTTGTTCCGCCAACTTCGTTGACCACTGTGTCGCAGAGACTTAGAGCACACGACTACCACCATAGGAATCATGGCCTCGGAGCGCGGGCCCAAAGCCAATCCCTCACAGCAACCACGGCGCAAGTCGCACACCAGCGCACCCATCGACGAGGACGCCCGCGCAATTGCAGAATTCACCGAAAAAGCCACCCAAAAATATGGTCGCGGCGACAGGATACGGCCAAAATCAGTAAAAGACAAGAAACTGCGGGCAAATATCAAATCGCTCGAAGCCAAGAACAAGCAGGCGGCGATAGAGGCGAAGAACGTCGAGGTGCTACTTGAGAACAATGCTGGGCTCCTAGAACCCGAACATGAACTGGAACGCACATATCGTGTGAGGCAAGACGAAATCAAGCGAGAAGTCAGTCTCGAGACAGCAAAGAAAGGGTTTGAGCTGCAATTAGACAGCCTTGGGCCGTACGACGTATGTGAATACACTCGGAACGGGCGTGATTTGCTCATTGCGAGCCGCAAAGGCCATGTCGCAACGTTTGACTGGAGAGATGGAAAGCTGGGCTGCGAACTACAACTCAACGAAACGGTGCGGGATGTGCGATGGCTGCACACAAGCAACCAGAAAAATTTCGCCGTCGCCCAAAAAAAATGCGTCTACATCTACTCGGGCGATGGCGTGGAAATGCACCAGCTCAAAAATCATTCGGAAGCGACACACCTGGAATACCTCCCGTACCATTTCCTCCTCGCATCGGTATCCACAGCAGGCATAATACGGTACACAGATGTGTCAACTGGTCAATCGCTACAGCAGCTATACACAAAACTCGGCCCCGTCACGGCGTTTGCACAAAATGCACACAATGCAATCCTGCACGTTGGCCATCAAAAAGGCCTTGTGACTCTATGGTCGCCCAGCAGCGCTACGCCCCTGGTCAAACTCCTCCCACACCGCGGACCCGTGCGAAGCATTGCAATCGACAGGTCAGGAACTTATATGGTTAGCACGTCTCAAGACCGGCGCATGTCTGTCTGGGATATTCGTATGTTCAAGGAGATGCACCAACACCACCTGCGGGTACCGGGTACTACACTCTCCATCTCCGATCGCAACCTCACGGCCGTAGGCTACGGCACTCAAGTGTCCATCTACAAAGACGACATTTTCCGGCGGAGTCTCGAAGACCACTCACAACCAACCATGCCATACATGGGCTGGGGCGGCGAAGGTCTCAATGTCGGGCGCGTGCGCTTCTGTCCTTTCGAAGACGTCCTTGGCATTTCGCACGACAAAGGCTTCTCCTCTATTCTTGTCCCCGGCTCCGGAGAACCCAACCCAGATTCTCTTGAACCAGGCACAAACCCCTACGAGACGTCGAAGCAGCGCCGCGAGACAGAAGTCCATGCCCTTCTCGAGAAGCTGCAGCCCGAAATGATTGCTCTTGACCCGAATTTTGTCGGTAACCTTGATCTGACTTCTCACGAGGAGCGCCAAAAAGAATATCGCGCGCAGAGGGGAGAGCGAGAGCCGGATAAGGTGGATTTGCTGAAGAAGCGGGGTAAAGGAAGGAATTCGGCGCTGCGCAGGTATCTCCGGAAGAATGGAAGCAGGAATGTTATAGACGAGGAGAAGGAGCGCGCGCGAGAGGCGCTGAAGAATATGCAGAAGAGACAGATTGAGCGCAAGGAGAGGATGAAGAAGGAGTATGGTCCGGCGCTGGAGAGGTTTGCAAGGAAGTAGAGGCAGGATTCCAGCAGATGCAATTCTTGTCCCAATGTTCAAGAAAATAAACACAAAAGCATTCTCCATGGCATTGTACGACGCTCGACATCTTCTAGTTAGATACCTTTTATTGTTCAAACAAAAACTGCATTAACCTACATGGGAAAGAATGAAGCACCAAACAAAAACTCCATACATATTTTTTCCTATATAGACGCCCGTGATATCATAAACGTCATGCCTTCAGCCTCATCTCCATCTTTCGAGGAAGAAGCCTGATATTTTACTGCTCCAACTCACCCTTCCAGGTTCTCGCACTCCTTGGCCAGACTCTCTTGTAAAGACTGACAGCCACAGCGTCCATAGGACTGATCTTGCCATCAAACGTAGCCTTGAAGTATCCATGTGTACCCAAGCTTTCCTTGATAAATCCACTTCTTCCGCGCTTGGTCCAGAGCGGTAGACTCTTGAACCATTTGACGTCTGCATCGTTGAAGAACATGTACCGGACAGTCACGACTCCCTTGTTAATCTTGTAGGGGTGGCCCGTCAAAATGATGCGCTTCGCCACGATGCGGTTCGTTGATGGTGGGAGAGATGTGCCTGTCGCAATCAAGCGCAGAGGAGATGGGTGGTCCGGGGTAGGTGTTGTACGAGTGAAGTAAAGCAGCGGAGCATTGCCCCACGTCAGAGGACCAATGAAAGACGCGATTGCTGACTGGCCCGGGTGGAGGAAACGGGCAAACTTGTGGACATGGTTCGGCGTATTGCCCGCATTCGAGAAAAGCTATAAGAGATGTTAGTTTCGACTAGTCTGAAATTTGTGAATAAGTGCGTCGGCTTACAGGATTGATGACGAGCCTCCTTGGGCCACATTGTACAATCATCTCTGTCTTTGCTTTGATTGGACCCTCATGTTCAGAGCTGAGCAGAATGCTGTAATTGCACGCCGTTCGCTTGTGCTCGTGTCTGAGCAGCGAGAACATGGCCATGGGACGTGACGCGCTCTCTTGGAACCGTAGCGGAACTCCACGAATGTGAACACTGACTCGAGTGCCGGCCTTGACACCGCCAGCCCACGCTTCGCGCATGAACTTGGTAGCTGTGCGCTTATAGTCCGAAATCTCAAGTAGTCGTTGCCACTCGTCAGGCTCGTATGGTCGGTCTTCTTCCGTGTCCCATACACTAGTCTTGAGGCTTTTCAATCCTCGGTAACGGATAAGTCGCTCGCGCGCATTGACGTTCGGATGCAACTCAATCTCGTCGGGAAACTCCAGATCCTCTTCGGCTTCAGTCTTTCTGGACTTGCGGTACTCCTCGATTTGCGCGGCCTCGTCTTCTGGCGATGGGTCTAGGAACATCTCGGATTGCGGATATTCTGAAGGAGCACCCTCTGTCATCGCTCTACCATCGACGTCCATACCCTCTACGCCATCTGCAGGGTGAGCGGACTGGCTCTGGCCGTCGACTTGGACGTCATCCATATCAAAGTCTTCAAGGTCGGAGCCGGAATCCGACATGTCGTCTAGATACCAGGCTGCCTGGTAGTTACTGGTACCTCTCGGTAACCGCCTTTTCTGCACAGGCGCAATCTCTTCTTCCTCGTCTGAGAAGTAGTGATGGTCGTCAAGTAAGACACCTTTTCGCTCAGAAGGAGCGACGGATGTTGCGTAGTTTGTCACATCATCCATAAGGGTTTCTTCGGGCGCAAGCTCTGCCAGGTCGTCTTGATCGTCGGTGGGTCGCTCCAGGGTATCATCGGTGGAATCAATAGCCATTTCTTCATCCTTTGCCTTCTTTCGTGTTTCTAGCGGGGCGGCGACGATTTTATCGACTTGGAATTCGCCCCAGTCTCCAATCTGGACCAATCGGTCTGCCTTGAGTCCTAGTCCTCGGACAACTCCAGTGACGACAACATTGCCAGCAGCATCCTCGCTGACAGCCGACTTTCCCCCAGGCCAGACAATATCTTCGATGAACATGTAGCTTCTCTGGTCCCTCCATCGTACACCTTTGGTGGTTGTCGTGCACAGCGATCGAACAAGGTTGGCTGCTTCTTGTCGATTGTCGACAGAGTACACACGTTCGGTTGAGGGTAGCCAGTGTGTGATGTACGATTTGAGCGAAGCAACAACGCATGGTCTTTGTTTCGCAGGTTCAATCTTTTCTAAACCTTGCACCACAGTAACCGTGTTGGAGATGCCCTGGCTCTCCACAGACTTGAGTATCAACTCGCCCTCGGCATCCACCTCTTCATGCGCCGACAGCACGAAGACAACAAAGTCGGCGATACGACAGGCATCGAGGGCGGCCAAGAGATTCCTCGTGACTACCAGGTACTGCACCTTCTGCTTGAACCGATCAATGGTGGTCCTTGTCCAGCCCGCATCAGGAACGTCGTCTTGCACGTCGACGCTCAAGTTCAGGCTGCGCACAGCGGCCGCAGCAGAAACATCGGCGCATAGTGGAACGACAGCGGCGATTCTAGGCGCCCCGTCTTTGCCGGCAAACACGTTGGTGGCTTTTGCATGCTCGTGGTCCTTGTTGATGCGCATCTGCTTGGCGCGATTGCGGCGGTCGAATTTGTTCATGACCTGCTGATGGGGCGTCTTGCGGCTGCCGAATTCGAACGAGAGAGAGTTGACCTTGCCTGTGCAGTCGTGTTAGCAGAGCGTGCACGCTGCTATGAAGGAATGGCGCCAGACTCGCCCTTGCTCTGCTCCTTGAGCGCGCCCTTGGTGGCATGGCGCGACTTGAAGCCCTTTTTCTCCTTCTTGGTGGTGCTGCGGTGGTGATGTGACTCCATCGGGGCCATGTTTGCGGTAGCGCCTGCTTTGAAGCGAAAGGGTATCGACGCCACTTTGAATCTTGTCGCCTGTTAGGCACGCTGCGCTGGGCGGGTTGGTGGGGGGAGGGGGGTGAGCGGCAGACGGCGATAATTTTGTTATCGTCTGGCTTATCGAGAATAATTTTGGCTCTGGCTCCAAGCGTGCAGGCTCCTCGGCTGTGGCGTCATGCAGCCCCACCACCACCGGCACCGCCACCACCAGCCACCAGCCTTGTCTTTGCCCGCTGGACAGGGCACGTGACCATCAACATCCATCCATCCATCCATCCATCCATACACATACACTGGTCGGCGTGCGCGACTGCCATACGAACCTAAGTAGTGCACAGTCACCCAGGCACTCTTGGCGCCTTCAGCACTCGCGAGAGGCCTTATACATACATAGCAGAAGGTGGCCGAATTTTCGAGGCCATGGAAAAGGACTTGTACATACGTGTGCATGAGATGAACGTGCATAGCCCTTCTGGTATGCAGAAACGGATGCGTTGCAGCAGAACAATCCCAAAGCGCCAGAGACATGTCCCATGCTCGTATCCAGCCTCTCTCACTCTCGTTTGCCCTGCATGCTGTTTGTCTGGCGCACCTGCACCACTGCACAATCGTTCCTGCCGTCACCTTTACCTCAGCCCAAACAACCACCACATGACCTCCCCCGCTGCCCGCTCTTTATATCGCTCCCGCTTCTCGCCGCCACTAGTCGGGACACGCCCATTTCTACCTCTCACTCGCGGGCCTACTTCAATAACTCGCCACTCTTCTCAATATCAAGCGGCGCAAACAGCTCTAAGCCACACTCCCTCCACTAACTGCCCGACATGTCAAAACGCCAGGCTCTGCGCCCTTACAATTCAGATGAAATTGTCCAGTATGCTTATGTAGCTGCTACCGCAAGCAACACCACCATCCGACTAACCTCTGTAGGCTCAAGGGCATTGCGCTCCCCGCAAAAATCAAGTGTGGTCGCTGCCTCAAGAATCTGCCTGAAGCCAAGTTCTCCATCAAGCAGCTTACCGACGCCCGTTGGCAGATCAAAAACTCAGGCAAAATGTACAAAGCCATCAACTGCCAGCCCTGCACTGGTCAACAGGTGGTCGAGGTCGAATGTACAGTGTGTGGAAAGATAAAGGGTCTGGAGGAATTTGCAAAGTCTCAACGCCGTAACCCTGACACTGCGAGGTGCTTCAAGTGTGTTGAGGCGCAGCTTGATGAGAACCCCTTTGACGAGGACAAGTACGAAGATCTCGACAAAGCTTTCGTCACTCCCGACCACTCTAATGGCCAATATCCCGAGTACTTTTCCGCAGCCACAACCGATACCTCTTCTGCACATGTAAGTCTTGCGCCATGTTAGCATTGCACAAAGCGTGACTCGCTCCTAACTGGTTCATACTGACTTTGACAGGGCGAAGATGACTGGAACTCCGTCAACTTGAACCAACGCCCTGGTCGCAAGGAATCTGGGGATGGCGGCGTTGCTTTATCGGCAGACTTTCAGCGAGCCATGTCTCTTACCGGGTCCACCAGTGAGGTCTTGATCAGTTCCGAGTACGCTTACTCCGCTGGCAATGGAAAGGATAACAGCGACGACTGGAGCGAAGTCAATGCCAAGTCCTGACATACGCAATCCAGCAGGGTTCTTAGCACCAAATCAGCTTTCAATCCCAATGCACATGGCCGCGCAGCTCCTTCGGCCGCTGGCTCATCCCGCTCCTTTGCCTCGAGCGTGGTTGAGCAATCCACTACGTCCCAAGTACGTCCCAATGGCTGGGCAAAAATACCTGCTGCACCTCGCGGTCCACCGATCGTAAGTCCTCAAGCGACAGCGGCATTATTCATGCGACTAATTGTCATGCAGAGGCCCATGGGTGACGACGCCCGCGAGACTGGTCCACTCGTAGACGCGTGGGGTGATTCTGACGATGACGAAGAAGAGGATGATGACGATGATGATGACTACGATAGCGATGACGATACTGTCATCTGAGTATTTGTCTTGACCTTTGATGCTGAAATGCCAGAGACGAGTGATAGGCTGGATGGGATTCCTCATGAATATCTGACTGAATCATGGACGCATCACGAGAATACGCCTCACAACTAATCTGCCTATTGACATGACTTGCCAGCTGAGACTGATTTGCGCATGTAATACGATATCATTTGCCCACAATCAATCAATCAATCAATCAATCCTCCTCAGGACGCGCAAGCCGCAGTCTAGAAATTCACAAGCTAAAGGTACAACTATTTCCAATATTGCAAGTGCAAATGACGAGGCAAATCCGCCACGCACGTTTCCAGGGTGTAACGTGATTGGTGAATGAAGTAGGCTGTCAGGGGTAGACTATGCTTGATTCAGGCAGTAATTGCCACCACGTGATCGCGCGCTTGCCCGGTGAACCCAGAACGCGCCCTTCTCGCTGATTGCTGCACCCCACTTGTCGACCTTTGACACACTTCAGCATCAACCACTTTGCCTTTCCTGCACAAAAAACCCTCAAACACCCCTGTGCAATCGAAAGCCGGTAGCCTATAAAATGTAAGTCAACATGGTGTGTAAAGACAAGTGAGCGCATAATGCTGACGAGTGGCGTAGGAGCGGACGGCGACCAAGAGGAGCGGGCATCCGGGGGCCACACTCTGCGCTGACAGACTTTCTGGCGGTAAGTTAACTTGTTCCTTTTATCAAATTGGGCGCCACTTCAAACCGGGTGCCATGTTCACATCAGTCAGAAGGCACCTGTGCAAGTCGTGCACATAACTGCCTCTATGATTAGCCTTTCGGATTGTATGTTAATTATGCAATGTTAGGCCAACAATATTTCTGCACAAGAAATCCGCGACTCTTACCAGCAACGTGTCCGACAGGCCGAGCAGGATGCGGAACAAGCAGGAGATAACGACGACGGACCTTCAAACGTGGGGGCAGACGATGGACAAGCCGAAGAGGATGTACAAGCAGAGTCGTCTGCAATGGCCGCTGAGCGTTCTCGTAAACGCAAACGCAACCAAGATGAAGCCATAGCGAAGATCAAGAAGGGCAAGGCTGCAAAGAAGAATGCACAAAAGAAGAAGATGAGGGGCTCAGATGACGACTCGGACTTCGAGGATGTCATGGACATGTACAAGAAAGCCAAGCCTCTCCCCGGTCAGCTGGAAAACTGCGAAATCTGCAATAAACGGTTTACCGTGACGCCGTACAGCAAAGCTGGACCCGAGGGCGGTCTTCTTTGTACGCCGTGTGGAAAGGAAATGGCCAAGGATGCAAAGGCCGAGAAGAAGGCCAATAAGCCTGTCGTTCGCAAGGGCCGAAGAAAGATGGAGAGCAACCGCCTCGATGGGCTGACTATGCGCGGACCAAAATCATTGCAACAGCTCTGCATCGAGAAGTTGGCAAAGCACGCGGAGGATATTGAAGAGCTGGGCGAAATGCCAGAAAGCATCATGAACCGGATCAGCGAGATCTTTTCGAAGAAGCGTGCAATGAACCCTGCGACCATGAAGCTTTTCCTCCAGCCTGACACGGAGAATGTTGCCATTCATGAAGCGGCATACCTGGAGACGGAAGATTACGACCAGATTTTTGCCGTATGTCAGAACGTCAAACGGCTGTCGCTGCGCAATTGCTGCCAGTTGAAGGATAGCAATATTGACTATATGAAGGAAAAGGCCAAGGCGTTGCAAGAGATTCAGTTGCTAGGGGCAAATCTCGTCTCTGACGACAAATGGATTGAACTCTTTATCGCGCGCGGTCAAGATCTCAAGTCATTGAAAGTAGAGTGGCTAGATGCTGCTTTCAATGACCACGTTGTCGAGGCGCTAACAACTTTCTGTCCGAACCTCGAGCGCTTGAAGATTGAGCGATGTAAAAAGATTGGACCAGACAGCATCGACGCAATAGCTCGTCTGCGGCACCTGAAACACCTCACTCTTCGCTTTTACGATAGCATTACGCGCGAGAAGCTAGCTTACCTTGTCGAGTCTGTTGGCGCCAATCTGCAGACGCTGTGCTTGGAGCACTTTATCGACCAAACGACGGATGCCACGGACGAAGTGCTTGACATGATTCACGAAAAGTGCCGCCATCTCAGCAAGTTCCGGTTTACGGAGAACCATGAGTGCACCGACGCGGGCTACGTGAATCTGTTTTCCAATTGGGACAACCCACCACTGCGCCACATTGACGTCAACTCGACTCGCGACATGGACAATAGCAATCCCGACGGACCTCAGGACGCACCGATTGGCCTTTGTTCTGGCGGGTTCCGGGCGCTCATGTCGCACTCTGGGTCGCGTCTGGAGTACCTGGACATTTCGTCGTGCCGGCACATCTCGCAGGCTACGTTTGGGGAAATGTTTGACGGGGCTCGGCAGTACCCGCATCTCGGGGAGATCAACTTGTCCTTTTGCCCCGTGGTGGACACGGAGATTGTAACGGGCATCTTTCGGTCGTGTCCTGGGATCAAAAAGGTGGTGACGTTTGGCTGCTTCCAGGTGACGGATGTGGTGGTGCCGAGGGGCATTGTGCTGATTGGGGCACCCAAGGCGCAGGACCAGATTGAGCAGTTTGGTGAGGTGGTGTTGGATTATCAGAAGGAGATGGCGGAGAGTATGGATCAGATGCGGGGCATGGGTCGCGTCGTGCCTGTTTTGAGCTAGTGGATGCGCGAGGTAGGGGGGCGGGATGATGTGCATGTCTGCGAGTCTTTGGCGCAAGGGTGGAAGGGGTTTCTTCAGCACGCTGGCATTCACGAGGGTTAGGATGATTATTATTATTATTGTTCCATTAGAGTCTAGTGAGCTCGAGGCTATGTAAGACTTTGGCCGAGGCCGTTCTAACTAGATTTATTTACAAATACGAGTTTGTGCTTGAAGTGTGTCTGTGGTGCTTCGGCCTTTGTCTAGGTAAG